AAAAAATAATCATTCGGTAGGTTACTTCTGAGATACATGCAAATGATCCTACATGTCTTTAACCCAAAAATGTCGTTTTGTCTAAGTTTCTAAAATGAAGAGAGGCCAACCAAAAAAGCTTACTTTTTTTCAATATTTTATTTGAACCATTGCTTGAACCCTGTACTCATGGAAAGCTTGAATAATCTGAAACTGTTCTTGAAATTGAGAGAAAGATGCATGGAAGCGATTCTGTGTGAGCACGCCACGCCGCATGTATATGACAATTTCCCGTTACATGAAAGCAGTAAATCCCAGCGATTTATGGCACACTTTTTTTTTGCCAGGGATGGGCAATAAGGCTTTCCCCAGAATAGTCAATGCATTCACCATAAACTTGACCCAATAAAAACCGAGTCTATGTATCACTCTGTCCGTGTTACGATTTATATGTCATTGCATTGACTTGTTTTGTAACATTAGTGTTCTCATGTCCTTGCTGGGTACAAAACAAAAAAATCGTCACTGGTTTACTGTCATTACAACAAAATCAACATCACTAACTCAAGTATGTAGCGCGAATTCCTGTCACCGATCCTTTAGGCTCCGCAACAACGAAAAAGTTACGAAAATTGTGATTACAAACTACCTTCAAATGACAATAATACAAATTTGGTATTTGAAGTTGCGTCAGTACACAGGTCATTCCTGTTGCAAGTCATTTCTGTTCGGGATGAGTAATTTTTGTTTATTCTGTGGAATCTCAATTGTGAATTGATACATGTTAAGTAATGACAAAATCCTTGAGTTCACATACATTTAATTTAGAATAAACTTAAATTTCACATTGTGTCGTCAACTTCTTTTGTTGTCTTCTGGCGGCCGCATTGTTCATGCTCATACAACAATTTGACTGTTCGTACTGATCAACTCATTCCACATAGTCCTCCGTCCCTGATGATGCATTCCCAGGCCCGTCTATGCATAAATGTGCCACTGCGCGCCTAATAAGTTTGGCGTGTCTCTGATTCGATGCGCATTCGCATTTTGGCGAAGACTGTACAGGAAACGCTTTTATGATTGTGCCCATCACAGATATTGACAAGTTCCTCCAATATCAGACGACCAAAATTTTCTGCAAGGACAGGAACCCCCTGATTATTTATCATATCGAAGTAAATGTTAGTTTGTATGTTTTCCTCAATGAAAAAAAGGCCAATCATGAGAACACTACCTCAAATTCCTAAACAAACAGTGAGTTAAGTGCGACTGTCGTTCCTTTCCAAATTAAACGGTTGTGTATTTCGTCGCTCGTGGAGAATATTGTCTCCCGTTCTGGGTATTAACTCGTCATTCATGGAAAATCCTGCCTCAGGGCTAATTATGAAGCGTACAAGAATCGTGTTGGCCTTGCGAGCAGCCTCTGGCAAAACCTCATGAAATGTAGACCGGTTATTTTCTCCGGACACTTATGCCTCCGAAAATCAATAGGTGTGGTGGGGTGGGGGGGGGGAGGCGGCTCGTGCCATATTTTCAATGGGGAGCGCTGATAAAATGCTACAATCAGGAACACTATATTGAACAAATGGACCCTTCCCACGACTATTTATTTGGGGGGAGACCGTTCGCATGTACGTCACATTCTTACATTTTGCTAGTGCATTTTTTATGGATTTTTTTTTTTTTGGGGGGGGGGGCTTACCACTGTATTACCGCCACTGTATTATTGTCATAATCACTCCGTAACGGTTGTACTTTCCTTAAGGAAACCCTGTAGTATTTGGTTCTATATTATTTCGAATGCCAAGGTCTTTTGTTTCATTCCCCACAGGTACTGGTTGGTGGCTATGCCCGAGTGGAAAGCCCGAGGGTCAATGGATCCAGGTAGACCTCGGTCAGTACACGGCCATCACGGGGGTCATCGTGCAGGGAGACAGTTCGCATCATATCCGAACCTTTGCTGTAAACTACAGTAATACGGGCGAGTCCAATGATTGGCAGAAACTAACAGACAGAGGACAGACCGTACAGGTGAGCCTAGGATACTGTCAAGATCGATTCTCTAGTTTTCACATTCCATATGGACAGTGAATAACAGAAGGCCAATCTTACGGAATCTCGATCGTTCCAGGTTTAAATAAGTGAAGTATTCCTTTTTTTGTGATATTATCATAGCAAAAGTTTTGCGAAAGAACTTGATGTATTTATATGCTATGCGTTTAACGCAATGTTTTTGCGTTGGAAAAAACAACGATCGAGTTAGTTCGCAAAGCTATTGGGTTCATCTGTAAACGTTTTATTGCTTTTAATAAATTTCGTTAAACTATTCCATCACGCCTATTTCGTTAACTGTTACAATATACTGCGTCAATTCGCAAGACTATCGCGTTTATGCTAGTGCGGAGTGCGCCGTTTCTCCAACGTTTAGGCCCTAATTGCATTAATTTGCAAAGGTAGGCCTATAAAGTATTACGTTAACTCGCAATTGAAAAGGAACTGTTAAACCTGAAACGATTAGGTTTCGTACTGGTTTGATGTCAAATTACGGGTCGTTGTAAATTTAAACAAACCTTTGATCTGCATTTCATTTGACTTAAGCTCGGGTCGCGATATCCGTTTACACTCAAGCATCGGCGGTGATTTCTTGTCAACATTGAGGGGGCAAGTAGCATGGACATTCGTAAAGCGAGAGGGGGGGGGGGGGGACGCCACCTGACTCTATGGGGAGCTTTTCAACATGTATTTAATGGCACACGTATTCGCGTTTTACACCAAATCCTTCCAGTATGTTTTTATTTACATGAAATGGGTGTGGAAGACCAATATCTTAGCGCTATTTAGTTGGGTCCAAAACATAAGTTCCGTGACCATTCTCTGGCTAGGATGGTTTGACGATGGATTTGACTTCTATGGACCATTTATAAAGAAATTAGCCCCCCGGTCCCTCCCAAAAATCCCGGCATTTTTCGCTAGGGGGCCAAATCCAAGATGGCCGCCGGCGCCATCTTGAAAAATTAACTTTTGAACCAGAGCACCTAGAATCACGTATGAAGACACTTTTCCAGGTAAGTCGACCATGAGAATTCCGATTCCGACATCAGTTTGACGCTATGACGTCATTTTGACCCAGAAATCCAAGATGACCCCCATTCGATAGAGCAAAAACATAAATTTCTAACGGGAGCACCTAGAATCATGAATGAACACATTATTTTGGCAAAATCGTTGCGCTGATGCAATTTAAGAAGGTCCTGGACCCATCCAGCATAAATGGAGCGAGAACCCGCAGCCAGACATGATGGCCAATGGTTCTTAAGGAGTGAGGTCCGAATGGGATCGAGGGCCATATCAGCTGGTTTTAAAAATGATTAGCACAATGAAGTTCTGTCTTGTTTTAACAAAGCACACTTCATTTTCAGGTTTTGTCCCTACTGACTACGGCAATCATCATAATCATCACACTGCATATTACATGTATGTTGGCACCAAATTATTCGCTTTTTATATATTTTATATCACAAACACTTCTGCTACTTCTTACTGTTATTGTTTCCTCGGATTGGTACGCGCACTGTAATGATGCTGTGGTTTCCCTGGTTTGTGATGTGAATTGAGAACATAGCTTACGACAATGTCCACTGTTCCATGAGTCCTCCAGTGTGGTAGGCTTTGCGACAAGGCCACCGACCCCATTACCTCAATTGAGATCTGGGAAAATCAAGAAAAAGGCCCTGTAATGGAGCGGTCAGAACAAGTTTTGAGATGTCCACAAAACTGTCATTTGCAATAAATGTCCTGTCGGACAGTGTGTCTGTGATACATTTAGGTTGACCCTTTGAAACACCAAGAAACGAGACAAGAAACTTAAAACAGACCTACAAAAAAAGAAAAAGAGAGGTTGACGAATGCCAATCTCAGTCTTTGTCTATGTCTGTTGTCTAGTTCTGTTGCCCAGCTGCGGCTTCAGCTGCCAAGGAGCTGCAATCGAGTCTGGGTTTAATGCATCATAAAACAAAATGTTAATGGAGCTGTAACATGAATTAAGCAAAGCACCCAGAATCAAAGCCAATCCTGATTTTGTATGATCACGCATGGCCAGATTTCAAGAGACACACATTAACCATGGAAGTTCAGAGCCTGCAAGACAAAATCGACTGTCTGATCGATCCTGCATTATGATCACCCCTATGCGCTTGAGATCAGATATCACCCTCAAATGCCGGTTGAATTTATGTGCGTAGCTATCAGAAAATAAGTGAAGATGACAAACTCTCCCGAATGCACTATGCCTTTCTCCATGAGGATCAAACGATCTTCTTTGACCACATCAGAACAGTTATCTTTGAGGAACATAAGCTAAGGGCCTCCTCAGAGATGACAGGATAAACCTTCTCTGTGTATATGGCTTCCCAACATCCAGGGTCAAGTCACCCTATTCATGCGAGGGCAAGATTGCCTTCCACTCCCATCCTCAAAGGAGACATAGCGACCTAGACTGTGACGCATCTGTGGGGGGGGGGGGGAGGGTGGTTCTTATGTCGAAGCAGCTGTGTCCTCCATCGGTGTCAGCATAGCAGATAGCAACTGGTGCACAATGTGGCTGATTGGCTTAGGAATGAATAATCAAACTCGTTCCGTAGGCACCGAGGGTCAAGGTGCTAGAGCAGGAGGAGAAGGAGTTCTGCTTGCAATCTGCTTTGCTTTGGAAGAGGGGGTAGATCTGTCCCCGAGCACTCCCCCTCTCACCTCTCTCATCACACAGTATGTCATAAAGCTACCAACCACATCTGCCAGAAGTGCCACCATCACCCTTCTCGGGATGACTTACAGCAAGGAGCTTATACTAGACTCTTACTACAAGCTGGGCATGGGGATCAGCTACCTAATGTGCTTCTCCTCCGCGGCCTTTAGACCATGCATGACCTGGAGCGGTGCTCGGTCTCTCCTGAGGAGATCGCTGAAGGAGAACTAAGCAACCTGATGCAGCCGAGCAAACTATTCGGTGTCATGATGGCTTGAATATGGAGCAGGGGAAGCGCAAGGCTTACACTGACTGCTCAACAAGTCAGTTGTGAATCATGTCAAAGACAAGCTGTCTTAATCATCGGCACTAAGCGCATGGCTCTTTGTTGCATGATTAGGGTGGATGGGCGGCTCACAGCGCCGTGTGGTCCTTAATGACGTACCTGCTTTCATCTCAGCCTCCTCATCAGCCAGTATTTGTGAGACAGTCTTTGCGTCTTTGATGCGCATAAGCTCATCCTGGATATTTGCCTTTTTCTCATGTACAAGAGGTTCTAGACGCTGCAGAAACATCAAGTTACAGCGGTGCGTTTCCTCCTCCTATAAAGTTGTTGTTGAGAAAGTCATCAGTGTCAATGTCACTGATGATTGGTTCTTCATCAGCGATTTCCTTGGGATAGACCGAGCACCGCTCCAGGTCATACATGGTTCAGACGTCTTGCAGGAGAAGCACGCTTGGGTAGCTGAACCCCATGACCAGCTTCTACTAAGAGCCGACACGCTCATTGCTGCATGTAAGTCATCCCGCGAAGGGTGACGGTGGCATTGATGGCGGATGTGGTTGGTCACTTTATGACGTACTGTGTGATGAGAGAGGTGAGAGAGAGTGTGCTTGGGGACAGATCTACCCCCTCTTCCCACGCAAAGCAGATATCTGCTGCACCATGAGAAGCGAGAGTTGCTCCCCCTTTTCCAGCTCTGGGACGAGTTGGATTGAACTGATGACATCTTTGAGCCGCTCAGCCACATTGCGCACCAATTGCTTACTACTATGCCGACACCGATAGAGGACAGAGCTACTTCTACAAGACCCCCCCAGACGTGTCATGGATTAGATCACTCAGGTTCCTCCGAGGGTTGGAGCGAAAGCCGATCTTGCCCTCAAACTCCTGGGTTAGGATATCTTTTATATAGGATGACTTGACCCTGGATGTTGGGATTAGGGTTAGGGTTAGGGTTACTGTTCTTACATAACCAAAGAAGGTGGTCTGAACCTTATAGAGAGTTACATTGAGCATGCGTGGGAGTTTGTCATCTTCACTTATTTTCTGATAGCAACGCATTATTTCAAACGACATTTGAGGTGATATCTGATTTCAAGCGCGTAGGGCTGATCAGCTGCAGGATCGATCAGACAGTTGATTCTATCTTGCAGGCTCTGATCTTCCAAGGCCACTCTGTCTCTTGAAAGCTGGCGTGATCGTACGAAATCAGGATTGGCTTTGATTCTGGGTGCTTTGCTGAATCTGTCTTACAGCACCATTGGCACTTTGTTTTATGATGTATTGCCGCCAAACTCGATTGCAGCTCCTTGGCAGCTGAAGCCGCAGCTGGGCAACAGAACTAGACAACAGACATAGACAAAGACTGAAATTGGCATTCATCACCCTCTTGTTTTTCTTGTCTTTTGTTGGCCTGTTCCAGTTTCTTGGTATTTCATAAGGTCAAGCTACATGCATCACGGACACATATTGTCCGACAGGGCTTTTATCCGAATTGTCAGTTGCGTGGACATCTCCAAACTTGTCCAGACCGCTCCATTACAGGGCCTTTTTCTTGACATTGTCCAACCTCTCATTTGAGGTCATAGAATCGGTGGCCTTGTCGCAAAGCCTACCACACTGGAGGGCACATGGAACGATGGACATTGTCGTAAGATACATGCACGTTCCCAATTCATCTCAAACCACCGAAACTACAGCATCATTGCAGTACGCGTAACAATTCCAGGAAACGTATAACAGTAAGAAGTATCGGAAGTGTTTTGTGATATAAAATATATAAAAAAAAGAATAATTTGGTGCCAACATATATGTAGTGATTATGATGATGATGATGATTATGATGATTGCCGTAGCCTCATTAGGGACACAACCTAAAAAAGGAAGTGCGCTTTGTTAAAACAACTCAGAACGTCGTTGTGCTAAACAAGTTTATACAAAATCCAGCCGATAAGGTCCTCGATCCCATTAGGACCTTGCATCTTATGTTGGATGGGTCCAGGACCTTCTTAAATTGCATCAGCGCAACGATTTTGTCAAAATAATGTGTTCATTCATGATCCTATGTGCTCCCGTTCAAAAGTTATGTTTTTGCTCTATCAAATGGGGGTTATCTTGGATTTCTGGGTCAAAATGATGCCATAGCGTCAAACTGATGTCGGAATCGGAATCCTCATGGTCGACTTACCTGAAAAAGTGTCTTCATACATGATTCTAGGTGCTCTGGTTCAAAAGTTAATTTTTCAAGATGGCGCCGGCGGCCATCTTGGATTTGGCCCCCTAGCGAAAAATGCCGGGATTTTTGGGAGGGACCGGGGGGCTAATTTCTTTATAAATGGTCCATAGAAGTCAAATCCATCGTCAAACCATCCTAGCCAGAGAATGGTCACGGAACTTATGTTTTGGACCCAACTAATTACACGTACCGAATAATATTGGTAAGATATAATGTGTAACTGGTAAAAATCTATATGCACTGTGATAAACTATTGGGTGGCATCGCCATCGCCGTCTCTTCCTGCAGCGCAAACATTATTTGGATCACCCCCCCCCCCCCCCCCGCCTCCCCCTCCCCGGATCGACGCCAATGGTATCAAGGTGAATACATTGTTCATTATGTTTTCTTCACGTCGCGTACATCTCAGACTTGGAAACGAAAGTGACATAAAGCATTATGGAAATTTGAACATAATTTCTAGAATGAAAATTTCTAGAGTGAAACTTATATCAAGTCACATTTTTTAATTGTCACAAGCATCATTCACATCACCCAAGATGTTTACAGGCATGTAATTGCACTTTCATGTTAAAAGGAGATAGCGCCAAAAACATGTTGAGCATCTCCCTATATCGGCGCAGCTCTTCAGATAGCAAAGAAGCCCGACGTACGTAGAACGAATATTTGAGCTACCTGATGTTGCGTTGGTGGTGATATTGTAAATCGTTATATTTTTTTCCAGTTGAATGGGCACTATGGTACTGGGCAACCTGTGAATGTGACGTTCCCCGTGGTACTGATGGCAAGATTCCTCCGCATACTTCCACTCACATGGAGTCGTCCTTTATATCACCTGAGGTTCGAAGTGCTCGGATGTCGAGGTAATACAAATGTGCCCATCTAAACAATCTAAGTCGCCGTATGAAGGCGACGATACCGCTAGTCATTTTGGTGTAAATGTTTTTTTTTTTTTTTACGGTTAGATCAATTTAGAGGTCTAGGCTTATTCCAACGCTGTAAGCACCAAATGCGGGCACTGACTTGATTTTCATATTGTGATGAAAAATGATGAGAACCCAGAGGAAGTTGTACAAATACAAGTCATATCTATAATTATGCTGAACTCATATTGATGTAACAGTGATTCCGATGCAGGCCGAATGATCATGCTAGTATCTGACTGTTTTAATTTTATTTTAGGTCTACACTAAAAAAAGTGCGGTGTAAATTGAACACCGGTGGTCCCATAAAGATACCACCGGTGTTAAATCTAGCACCGCTGTTTTTGCAATGTGGGTTGCTTTGACCCTCATAAAACCTGTGTCAGTATCCAGGTCATGAATGTTGGAGGGTTGGGAGTTGGGATGATGGTGTTGTCGGCTGATATCACTTGCTGGGTGTGTTTATTCGTTTCTTTTCTGATTGATGACTCGTATTGGTCCAGCTCTGTTGCATTCTGACAATGCCCAGTACAAATCATATATGAAACGATGGGTTTGGATCACAAATTGAAAAATGACCTTCATATTGCAAATTGAGGAGGGGATCTGAGTTGAGTTCCCTGGATGTAAACAAAGACGAAGGAATGATCATTATTGTCAGACAACAGTCATCATTGAACGGGGGAATACGTCTGGTTAGGCGACTTGAGTCATGAAACAGCACCGTCACGATAGGGTAAGACGTTAAAGAATTGACGGTATTTGCACAATCATCTAGTGCGTGTTTTTGTGTTTCACACGTAGTTTGGGGAAAGATTTCTGCAATCATATATTATGTCCTTCCCTCAGAAGCTTATCTAAAATTCACAAATATTTGACCAAGAAATGTCCTCAAGCATCAGTAGCAAAAGTAATCCCAATTTCCATTTGAACTGTCAGTCTGGGGTGGCAAGATTCGATTGGTGGGCGGCGATGACAAATGGAGCGGCCAAGTGGAAATCTACCGCCATGATGCTTGGGGTGCAGTCTGCGATAGCAGTTGGGATATGAAGGACGCCACCACCGTTTGTCATCAGCTCGGCTTCATCGAGGCTCTGGAGGCTAAAACGGGGTTGTCCAGCCGAGAGAGTGACCGGCCGATCGTGATGAATCGAGTCGCCTGTACTGGAACTGAACGACGGCTGGCTGACTGTCCGTTTGTCTGTACCGGCTCTCAGCAATGCAGCAGCTCAACTGTAGCAGGAGTCGTTTGTAAACCAAGACCTGGTAAGAAATACTCCGCCCTCTTTAGTTTCCATGACATGTCATTCACATCCGACTTTGTGTCTTAAACCTCAGCTTATTACACAAGTGAATTTTGTGTTATCAAATCATCTCCAGGTATTTATGATATTTCAGCGTTCTCTGATGATAAAAGTCAGATAAGGAGGTACTCAACCCTGAAACACATTCTTCAAACAAAAGCACTTCCCTAATGAGTATAGGAAAAATAATAATTATACTGATGAACTCAATGAAAAATCTGAAACAATTATTGTTATCTCTTACACCCACTAAATAGGCATTCATTCAAAAATAGGAATTCAAAACCTTACTTGTGCCTCCCAATACTGATTATTTGGACCATTATTCTTTTAAGGTTGATTTCGCCTTGCTCTTCAACATATTATTTTTTTTCCTTTTTATAAATTTACAACTTGTATGTTTTCTTCCAACCTAAAATTTTCCATTTTGGACGTCTGCAACCCTCTGAAGAAGAAAAAAATTGGGCACAACAGACCCACTTTGCGAGCAGGCTGGCTCCCGGTCCGTACATTATCGATACTAATGACGTCACACTTTGTTTACATGTGCACTTTCCTATGGAGGCAGTGGGGGCCCACGGTCCCCTAAGCAACATAGGATGTCATGTAAACAAAGTGTGACGTCATTAGTACAGAGGCTTATTGTGGGGCGGGAACCAGCCTACCCGCGAGAATAGAATTATTGTCTGGAAACAAATAATTCGAAACTGTCAAGTAATAATGATTCAACAACTAAACGGGCTGATTTTTCGCTCAATAACTCATTCAAAAGTGAATAACTTTCGTATTGCTATAGAAAAAAAAAACAATAACTTAGAAAATGAATCTATTTTTTTGGATAAAACTTGTTAATAGCACGGGGAACGATTCTTGAATATAGGCCAACTTGATGTCCTCAGTAGGCCTATGGGTTCTTTGGGGCACTGTCACTGACAGACAGGTAATTTGACTCTGATCGCTACGTGACATATTTTTATCAGCCTGTATTTCCAGCTGAAGAGGGGATTGGGAGGTCTACTAACCATGAGGGCGGGCTACCTGTCCGTCCCTTTTTCATTACACCACTCCACAGTGTAGGCGTCAGACTGTAACTCGTCTTGTTTTCTAAATTGAGATGATGTCTTTATTGTGAAATGATCAGATGAGCTTCGGTTGGTCGGCGGATCTCGCACCAGCGGCCGAGTGGAGATATACCGTGGCGGCAGCTGGGGCACCATCTGTGATTCCAATTGGAACGAGACGGATGCGGGGATTGTCTGCCGACAGCTCGGTTTCTCAGACGCACTGGAAGCTAAGTCCGCTGCCCACTTCGGGCAGGGTAGCGGACCCGTCCATATGGACGGCGTAGCGTGCGAAGGATCCGAAGAGAAAATTACCGACTGCCCTTCCTACTGCTGGGAAGAGACAAGTTGTAGCCACTCACACGATGCTGGAGTGATCTGTAGTGACGGTAAGCATATAATGAGGGCAGTGCAACGAATCCTATACCACATCGTCAAGGATTCAAATCGTCATAGAAATACTCCGCGTATTCCTATCATTAGAAAGATGGATTTGTTCTAGCGTCATGCAACAACGAGTGCTCCATTCAATTAGATAGTAACGATTTTTATTGTGCAACCGTATATCTTGATTTAAATGATAAAAAGCTCAGAAATAGTGCAATGTGTTGAAACTAATAGTTGCCTAGCAATAATCAGTTGATACCTTGATCAATATTTGCAAGGGTTTCTCCCATGAAAGTATGTCCCGATTCTTAATTTCGAATATGTCTGCGAATCTGATAATCGTTCAGAGAGAATATTTTATTGACTTCTGTGTAAAGACGGTCTTATGATTGTATAGAGCCAGGTTCCTGATTAGATTTTATGTAGAACACATTTTTTTTAAAATGAAAACTGTTTTGTTTTCAGTTTTCTTCAACAACCTAAGTTGCAAACTTTTTGTTCTTCGCTTTTGTATTACTGCAGGAAACACCGTAACAACCAACAAGTGACGAAAGCTAAACCGCTCAAGCAACCAAGAAGGATAGGACACCAACCATATTCTCATACACACTCATCTCCTTTTTTAAAAGGGACAATATTTGTTCCATTGGATTTCAGACCATCAAAGCGCCCCTCGTGAACTGCTGGTCGACTTCTTCTATAGTCACGTGACTGGCCTGGGCATATAACCCGTGCATGCTGTAAAAAAAATATATGGAGAGTGGTAACTCGCTTCTCTTGGCATTGTACAGTATATTAGCGACTGCGCAATCTATGACACCAGTCTTTGTTAGTGCATACTGGCTAGATGTAGTTTTGAATCAGAGGCAGAAGCTTTCTTGTTGTCAATGTATGTTTGTGTGCAGCATATACAATACGCATAATAAGCATGCAACAATCATAGTGGCTTTGTTTGTTCGAAAAAAATATATATACAAAATGATAATAAGAAAACACCAAAAGACAAAAAACGGAACAGGAGTGGAATCGATAATCAATTATATTATTGAACTTGCATCCATTTTGTAAGCTACTCATAGTAGAATGAGTCCATTGATATAAATACATTCAAATGAAATTGGGGAACAAAAAGTTAAAGTACAATGGATAAGCAGTGAGGGTGAAAATTGTTGACTTTCTTATACTCTGATACACCGATCAACTTTATTTGTTATTTCAGGAAAAGCTACGATGTTGCGTACGGGGTAGAATACGTGACGGTGAAGAAACTTTGTCAAATACTATGGTTGATAAACTTAATAATTGTTGTGTTATTGTGCCATGTATAACATTTGCCATAATCGTATGTTAGAATAAACCAGTCTTTTTAACTAGGAATAGGAGTAATATTTATTAGATTTTCAATTACTTTATATCTGCACTTGTTATAGACCTAGTACTTGATTATCATAATGCCAAAATAAAAACTAAAAATAATTAACGAGACACACATAAGAGGCCTCCTTGCCTTGTCATAGTCGGACCCCCAGGTGAATTCTTATGATTTTTTTTTTTTACGACTCCTTACGTTGAAATGCTTGTCTTGTTTTATAATATTGATTATTTACTTCCTTTTAATGCATTAAACGTACGTGAATACAGTATACAAATTGTGACTTTGGGGTCTCTATGAACTATTGAACTATTTGGGTCAGTCAGTGTGTCAGTCAGTGTGTTAGGTACAAAGAAGACCGTAGTCTGGCCCTCTGGGACCAGCAGAGTATTTTTTGGGACCAAGGTGAGACTTATGCAAGTCTATTTCACAAGTGAGAGACAGTGAGTCAAGCACAAAGAAGATAGTAGGTTGGCCCCTCGTGGACTACAAAAAGGACCAACATTAATTGATTACCATTTTTTTTTTTAAATCGGTTGCCATCCCAACCACTGATGACCATCCCACATAATTGCTTTTGATACCATATTCATTGACCCCTGATACACGTTACATGAAAAGTCACCCAATTTCTTGCCGATGGGGCGGGGGGGGGGGGGGACCCACAGCTCTGACTAACATTTTATGTTTTGCATAGGAAATATAATATAAATAATGTAACCCCCCTCCCCCCTACTCTGTGACTAGATACCGGTAATAATGTCCGCTTGTGCACAACATTCGGACTGAGCCAGCTGGGATACGGGGGTATCATCGGATTTAAACAGCGCCTCCATTGAATGTTTACGGAGGCCAATGATGTGTCCGGAGGAAAAAACCTGTCTACATTTTAGCATTGATTTGCTGATGAACCCCCCCCCCCCCCCCGATTAGGCAGTATATAACAAATCGTGATTGTGTAATGGCGTGCCTGATACAAGCTATTCTTTCAATGTTTTGCCACCTCTAGCCGCCTTTATATCATGTTCAATACTTATATTATTTTCCATTTCTGTCATGAACAGGACATAAAATTGTTTAAATTGAATTGAATAAAGGGGACAACTGATCTGGGGCCTACTTACTGCTCTGCAACCACATGTTGCTGCATTGTCACTGCCAGATATTTTTGATATATTGCCCAAAACATTTGAAGGTTAAGTCTGTTTTGGATGAACGTCTTGAACATGGATGCTAGTTACAGGGTCGTCATACATGAGGGTAACTATGAACCAGAAAGCCAGTGACAAAACATATCCGTCACAAGGAAATGAATGTTTGAACCCGGGACTTGTTTTTTTTTGCCCTAGCTCCTTACGTGAGCAATTTGGTGCATTGGTACTCTACACAGCAATGTCTCCACCAGATGTTTGATATATTGCCCAGACAATGTCAGAGGTTAAGTCTGTTTTGGATGAACGTCTTGAACATGCATGCTCGTTACAGGATCGTCGTACATAAGGGTAACTGTGAGCCAGTGTCAAAACACATGCGTCACAAGGAAATGAATGTTAACCTTTTGCGAAAGATCCTTGAACTTTTTAGTTGCTGGCTCGTCTTAATGTGCGCGTTTGATCTAGTGCCAGAACACGTGCGTCACAAGAAAATGAAGAAATGACTTCCAATGTTCACCCATTTGACCTTGCTATATCGGTCCCGCCCAGTTCTGCCGCGCATCAATGGATTATAATGTTGTATAACACATTGATAACTTTTCTGATTAGGTTTTTCTGTAGTATATTTATTCAGTTTTAATGAAATTAGGTCGCAGGTTCATCCCTGCTCAAGTTTTTATTCGTAAATCGTCCCTATAGTCAGGTTTCTATATGAGTGACTTGTCATGGCGATTTTGTGCAACTGAGTGATAATTGATGAAACGTTTGGATTCGTAATCCAGTAGCGGATCTAGAGGGGGTTGGGGCTTGCAATACCCCACCCTCCACCCCACCCAATATAGCCGCTGACTAATGTTGATACTAGTAAAATGGGGTCAAAATAATGTGATGTGCCATTTATTAACTTTAAATAAATAAGTTACATGTGCCAAACGTGCATTGTATGATCAAATAGTCATGCTAAGTCACTCACATATGAGCAGTGGATTCTGATTGGCTTGTATTGTGTAAGGGGCGGGTTCTAAGTCACTCTGTGGGAATACTGGATTCTGATTGGTTAATGGGTTTTGTGCACTTGCTAATGCCATACACTGTTTGTACATGTAGATATTATGACTGACATATGATCAGGACTGTATAAAAGGAAGAGCAGGATCTAATAAACCTCACTTCTTCTTTTCCTTCGACTTATGATGGAGTGAGACCAATGAGAAGTCAAATCAGTATCCCGTGTCCAATCAATTGTTATACCAGCCGGGTCATCCACTGAATCCACCCAATCCACCAGCAATCCACCCAATCCACCGGTAATCCACCCAATCCACCGGTAATCCACTCAATCCACCAGTAATCCACCCCATCCACCAGTAATCCACCCAATCCACCAGTATTCCACCCAATCCACCAGCAATCCACCCAATCCACCGGTAATCCACCCAATCCACCGGTAATCCACTCAATCCACCAGTAATCCACCCCATCCACCAGTAATCCACCCAATCCACCAGTATTCCACCCAATCCACAAGTAATCCACCAAATCCACAAGGTAATCCACCCAACCCACCAGTATTGCACCCAACCCCCCTAATAAAGTTCCACTGGTGCACTTTTCCAAGTCTGCTTTACGCTACCAAGGTCTGGAAGTTGGACCGTCGCCCAGTGTTGTGGCATACAACCGCAGGAGCTAAAACGCCATAGGGGCCTGGCTGAGGACGAGGGCAACGCTCGTTACAATAATGATTGGAATACTTAAGTTACTGAACTAGCTGCCTTAGAATGCAGGATCGTAGATTTTAATATTGAGAAATCGTTCGACGTTCGTAGAATGTTAAAAAAGGGTACTTGCTGCGAAATGTTGGGGAAGGGGATGGTAAATGCCACCGTAACCCCCCCCCCCCCGGATTCTACGCCCTCGTTTACCCAAGTCGGAAGTCCCCGATATAGCTTCTCAGCAACACAAATAGACCCACGTAGACGACGTCTCGGGGGATTTGTGCCATGGAAGCCAGACGGATTATATATCTGCTCAGCTATAACGGCACCTTTTAACCCCGACACATCATGCCCAGCACCATGATATATAAAGCGATTTACCAACCTCCGTCGGTTCATACTCGGCTCCAGCTGATCGCTCCTGAAGACGTTTGTATTACTTTTTCTCATCGTATTCCTAAACAATGTCTTACTCTGCATCAAATCTGCTGGTGTTGGCTGCCACGCTGATCACCATCACTGCGCCCTCACGTAAGTGTGAAACTGAATTGAATTTGTCGTTGTCAACTGTAATTTTACAGATTATTTTCTGTTGTAAACAAAACAAAAACCAACACATGGAAATCTGTAAGCAGGCAACTGATTTCTATAGCTGAAACTTTGTAGGCTATGTCTGCGGTTTACAGTTACAAGCATCACGATCCCAGCACAAAACGTGTGCACACGTAACAATCAATCTAGCTTTTGGGGTTGAAAATTGAAAATAACTGGGACGGTACATTTTAGAAACATTGTTGTCATGTTAGTTTTCATTTCATAGTCTATTTGTATTGAATATAGTTTCACTAGTTGATGCCTCATCACTTTACTACTGTATCCGTATAGTTTTCGTACAATATAAACCAATCCACTGGATTCAGCGCTATCAGAAGGCCCAAACCGTTGCCTGAAAACAAGAGTCGCATTTTGCGCCTATCATTTTGTCTGTCAATGTTTATTCCAGTTAAAAAGAATGAAAATTACAGTATCCCAATTTCGACTTTGTATTTTAGAATTATGCTCGGCCCATCCTGTAGTGCAAGATGCGACGTCACATGACCAGGCAAGCAGCTCAAGCATATCAGGTAAGCACATGAAGCTGCTGATATTTAATTGTAACATTAATATTTTGTTTGTACCCCTATGTGTTTGCCGTGTGGCGTTCCGATGGTGGGGGGGGGGGGGTCCACTCCTTGTATTCCTTTGAATGAGGGGACACATGCGGTAACAGTTATTATCTGTGCATTTTATCCCCACCCCTGTAATTTAAACCATAATCTACAAATATGAAGCTATACTGTGGCTTTATGCAGTCCCAATTCTCTGAATTTGATACGAATAGAAAACAAGAAAGGGAATGGAGCGGGAATATAGGCCCTATCACATTCAAGAAACACCGATACAATATTAAAAACTAAGTAAAGTAGATATTCTTGAAAATGTAACTTCATTTTTCTCGACGCAAAGTATATGGGTTCCTGGTAAAAGTGCAATGGTTTTGTCCTAACCATTCCGATTAAATGATGATAATGACTCTTTTCTCAAAAATGATAGCATGCAAGGCGCACTGATTTCACTCGTTGCATGATCCTATTATTTACTTACAATCAAGTATGATATTTAATGATTTCTTTTATTTTTCTACTGGAATTTTGCAAAAATTCATGGTGTCCATTTCCTATAAAGCTGCTTCAGCACGACTAGAGGTCAGAATTTTGAACTTTTTGCAGA